AATTTTTTTGCCAGTCTTTGAGCTCAAACTCTGGGCCTGCATGCATGCTGTCCCTGAGATCCTTTTGCTCAAAGCTAGTGCTCTACCACTTGAGCCACAGAGTCACTTCCAGCTTTTTCTGTGATTAATTGGAGATGAGTCTCAGGGACTTACTTGCCTGTCCAGGCTGGTTTCAAACCACAATTCTCAGATCTCAGCCTCTTGAGTAGCTAGGATCACAAGCATAAGCCACTGGTGCCCAGCTAGAAGGAATTTTAAAGGATTATGTAAAAAAGAGGAAGAGTTTACTTTGAAAAGTGATCTTAGAGTCCATAGTTGTATAACTGTTGTTGAGATTGTAGAAATGGAACTGCATTGTTGTAAGTTCTATGTCATTTCAGTTAAAATCCCAGAAAGACTTCTAAGTAGAATGTGGATAGTGGCATGTGGGTGTCCACTGTAAATTTTGGCTTTCCTGTAGATGTGAAATATTATATAATAAAATGTTAGAAAAGCACTACAAAAGGTGACAAGATTTCAAAGTCCCCAAAGTAGGACTATTTGTTCATAGATATTTGTTTTTATCACCAATGAGATTAAGTTATATGATCTGAAATTTAAATATGGTAATTATCAAGAAATGGGGCGCCCAGTGCTGACTGGTCACAACTATAATACTGTTCAGTAGACTGACCTCTGAAGATCATGGTTTGAAGCCAGTCCAGTTAGAGAAGTTCTTGAGAATTTTTTTTTTTTTGCCAGTCCTGGGTCTTAAAAACTCAGGGCCTGGGCACTGCCCCTGAGCTTCTTTTGCTTATTAGCACTCTACCACTACCACTTGAGCCACACAGCACTACTTCTGGCCTTTTGTGTTTCTGTGGTACTGAGGAATTAAACTCAGGGCTTCATGCATGCTAGGCAAGCACGCTACCACTGAGCCACATTCCTAGCCCAAGTTCTTGAGACTCTTATCTACAATTAACCACCCGAAAGCCTGAGGTAGAGCTGTAGTTGAAATGATGGAGTGCTAGCCTGAAACGAAAAAGTGCAGGGATGGTTCCCAGGCCCTGAGTTCAATCTCAAGCACTGGTACAATAAAATAATACACCCTATGGATAGAGGAGTTAATTGTTCCCCAGCTCCCTGGTTTACCTCAGGTCTCAGCTGGCTGAGGGGACTTGCCTTGGGTGAAAGGTTGATGAAAGGCCTAGGGGGCATGCCATTCCCCAGTGCTCTGGGTCTTTTTGGCCCCAGGAAAACAGGAGACCTAGCTACTGCAGGGCTTTTGGCCTGGACTTGAAAGACAATTGGGATGGACCAGATGCCAAGGATCATTCCTTCCACTCCCAGTTCTGCTTTTTTGTTCCGGAAAGTCATTGAGCTTCATCTCTAATTCCAGAGCTAGGAGTCAGACTATCTGTGAAAGGTTATCTGATGGGGGACAGACAGAGAAAATGTGGGGGGGGGGATTGTAGCAAGGCTTGGGGAAAACAGGCCACACAGTTTGCCACATCTGCTCTAGGAAAAGGCAACTCTTGTGTGTTGAGTCTGTGGTTTTCCAAGAGTTCTGGAAGATGCCCTAGAGCCCTCCAGAGACTTGTTTTCACATTAAATCTGGAAAAGGATATTAAGTCTGAGTGGCTACAAAGAATTTAGGTAGACAAAGCTAGGAGGGTATGGGAAAAGGAGTTTTAAGTACATGAATCTGTCGGTGAAAGAATTGTGATAAAACCCCAAAATATCATTTAGGACTATTTCTCAAACACTGTTTAATAAAGCTTGGGGAGGGCTGGGAAGGTGGCTCAGTGGTAGAGCGCTTGCCTTGCATGCATGAGGCCCTGGGTTTGATTCCTCAGTACTACATAAGCAAAAAGAAAAAAGCCAGAAATGGCGCTGTGGCTCAAGTGGTAGAGCGCTAGCCTTGAACTGAAGAGCTGAGGGACAGTGCCCAGGCCGAGTTCAGGCCCCAGACTGCCCCCCCCAAAAAAAAAATCTTGGGGAACAGATTGTCTTGTCTCAAACTGCTACCACTAGCTACACTGGACAGTCAACTGCTAGAAATACAGAAGGTCCAAGAAGGAATGGGTTTGCAGTTGAAATTTATTATTTATTTTGGTCATGGGGCTTGAACTCTGGGCCTGGGCGCTGTCCCTGAGCACTTCAGCTCAAGGCAAGCACTCTACCACTTGAGCCACAGCGCCACTTCATTTTCTGATGGTTAATTGTAGATAAAGGAGTCTCACGGACTTTCCTGCCCTGGCTGGCTTTGAACTATGATCCTCAGATCTCAGCCTCCTGAGTAGCTACGATTACAGGCGTGAACCACCAGTGCCCAGCCTAGAACCCAGCTTTTTATGGGTTAAAATGGGGGTGGCATCATTAACTTTTTTGCCCCTGGTGGCCTTGAACTATGATTCTAATTGCCTCCTGAGTATCTAGGATTACAGGCATGAGCCAGTAGGGCTTTTTTTCCCTCCCATTTTGCAGTACAGGAGTTTGAACTCAGGGCTTTGTGTTTAGTAGGCTGATATTTTACTAGAGAGCTCAGTTCTCAGAGTACACTAATACTTGAGCAAACAAGCAAGACCAGAGAAAGTTTCTTTTCTTCCCAACTACATGTTGCAGCTTAGTGAGAAAGCAACAGCATGATGCAAACAGTATTTGGTACGGGCACCAGTGGCTCACGCCTGTAATTCTAGCTGCACAGGAGACTGAGATGTGAGGAGAGAGGTTCAAAGCCAGCCCAGGAAGGAAATTCCATGAGATTCTTTTCTCCAGAAAACCAAAAATGGAGATGTTGCTCAAGCTCCATTCATTAATAGTATTTGTCTCTAAATTCTGAGCTCCCATTCCCTAAGCCTCATTTTCCCTGATCTTTTGTGCCTCAGTCAAAAAAGTTACACACTGAAAGTCCTTTTAAAAATATTTTATTTGGTAGCACATTTACGTACACACACACACACACACACACACACACAGAGGTTAATGGTAATACATCCAGAAGAAACTTCAAATGTGGAGGCCAGGTACTGGTAGCTTGTGCCTATAATCCTACTTAGGAGGCTGAGCTCTGAGGACCATGGTATGAAGCCAGGTTGGGCAGGAAAGTCCATGAGACTTATCCGTAATCAATTACTAACAAGCTCAAAGTGGAGCTGTGGCTCAAGTGGTAAAGCAACAGCGTTAAGGGAATAAAGCTCAGGGACAGTGTCCAGACTGTCCCTAGGACTGACAATAAAGAAAAAAAAAATTTAAGCAAAGAAAAAGAAGCCATAAATTTCAGGAAATTTGTAGGAATTATTTTCTGGAGTGAAAATAAACTAACCGGGCGGGCGCTGGTGGCTCACGCCTGTAATCCTAGCTACTCAGGAGGCTGAGATCTGAGGATCGCGGTTCAAAGCCAGCCTGGGCAGGACAGACCATGAGACTCCTATCTCCAATAAACCACCAGAAAACCGGAAGTGGCGCTGTAGCTCAAGTGGTAGAGCGCTCGCCTTGAGCTGAAGAGCTGAAGGACAGCGCCCAGGCCCAGAGTTCAAGCCCCACGACCGACCAAAAAAAAAAAAGAAAATAAACTAACTACATTCCGAAGATGTGTTCATCAAGATGAACCAGCAACCACATTGGCCCACGTGGCTTTCTGAACAAAAAACCAGGTGAGACATGGCAACCTCCCAGTGTGCCTACCTTCACCTTAAACCCAGCCTACACATATAGTTCAGGAATGCACAGCAACTTTTCAATAACACTCAGAATTGCCTGTGTAGACAAGCACGTTGCTTCTCTTGTGCTGTCCCTAAATTTCCTGGAGGAGTAATAGTAATCTAGTCCTGTAACAAAGGCAGGAATATTCTTTTTTTAATGTAGCTCAGGATGACCTCAAACTCTTGGATCCTTTTACCTCAACCTCCAAGATCTGTGATTTCAAGAGTGTGCTATTGTTACCCCTTCAGAATACAGATTTCTAATATAGACTCTGACCTAGAAATCCAGATGCATTCTAATAACTTTCTAATCGGATCCAATTAAGCGGAATGAGAGATAACCCAATGCCAAAACACATTTATTGGTTTACTGTTTACAAAAGAATGATTGGGGTTGGTGATGTGGCTTAGTGGTAGAGTGCTTGCCTAGCATGCATGAAGGCCTGGGTTCAATTCCACATAAACAGAAAAAGCCAGAAGTGGCGCTGTGGCTTAAGCGCTAGAGTGCAAGCCTTGAGCACAGAGAGGCTCAGAGACAGAGCCCAAGCCCTGAGTTCAAGCCCAGGAGAGGCAACAACAATAACAACAACAACAACAACAAAAATCAATTTACAAATCCTCAATGTAAAAAAAGTTCAATACAAATGTCTGTCTCTCTAAGAAAGCATACCAACCTTAGGCAAACAGAATGGAGTGAACCTTCAAGCTAAATAGAAGCCCAGAACTACTGCTCTGTTAGGAAAATGGACAAAACTTTCTGAAAATATATGAAACAAAAATGAAAAATACAATTCTGATGAATGGGCTAAGCACTTGAAATTCAAGCATAAAATTAATACTTTAAGAAGGAAAAAATATATGGGTGAAGTTGTCAGACATGTTTTATCATTGTTTTTGTGGTAGGGTTTTGCTTTGTAGCCAGGCTGGCCTTAAACTTGGTATCTTCTGCCTCATCTTCAGCCTCCCCAGTCCTGGAATTACAGGTGTGCCACTAATGATTAAACTAATGACTAAGTTTTACAAAACCTTCTTAACCAGTCTAAGAGGGAAAAGAAAACTTCACCAAACCAGGCCCTGGTGGCTCATACCTGTAATCCTAGCTACTCAGGAGGCTGAACTCCATGGATCACAGTTCAAAGTCAGCCTGGGCATGAAAGTCTATGAGACTCTTATCTCCAATTAACCATTAAAAGGCCAAAAGTGAAGCTGTGGGTCAAGTGGTAGAGAGCCTTGTGCACAAAAGCTCATGGACAGCTCCCAGTTCCTGAGTTTAAGCCCCAGCATCCAAAAAAAAAAAAAGAAGAAGAAAACCTCACCAAATTAAAAAACTAGATTTTTTTCTTGATATTAAGCCTAAGATATTTTTCCCTTTCTCAAGTCATTTAAACCTGAATTATGAGAAGTAATTTACTCTGGCCATTGTGAACATTTCTGCACAGTGACATAATCAGACATTTTACCGCTTTCATTATTTAACTTATCCATTCCCACTCTAGACCAAATATCAGGAATGTGTGAGTAAGCAAGAGGATGTCATTTTTCCTGGAAGCTTATGAAGATATAACAAACATACAGCATGAGAAAACTCAGGCATTGAAGAAGGCCAAAGATAGTAGGGAAAGTGAGCCAGGTACCTGTATGGTGCCTGCTTCAAAACAAACTCCAAGTCCTAAGTCCCATGTGTGTGTGTGTGTGTGTGTGTGTGTGTGTGTGTGTGTTTGTGTACACATTACTGGGGTTTGAACTCAAAGCCTCGCGCTCTTATGCCCATCTAAGGCAGATTTAGAGATGGATTCATCCAGGATTCTGTCTTCTCCAAGGCTGGGCAGGGAGGAAGCGGGCAAGTCGCAGCTCTTTGGAAAGGAGGACCAGCGCCACTCTGTGCCACTTTGGTTTCCTGAGGAAGAGGAGACACTGAAACATCTTGCTTTGTGCATGTGAGATCCTCCTTACTTTTCACCATCAGAAGCTGTTCAATCTCTTCTTTCAAAGAAGAACTCGTCTGAAATGCATTCTTGGGGATCACCAGGCCATCTTCCTGCGTGTCCCTCTGCTCCTCGGGGCCAGCGAGTGTATTACTGGCATCCTTGCTGGCTTCTCCTTCTTTTGTGGGAAGCTGGAACGGAACTTTTGTTGTTGCTTGCTTAGATTCTTTCAGCGACTTCACATGCTTTTGAAAATCACGAGATATAAAACTTGGAACTTTCTCTACCTTAGAATTTTTACAAACTAAGACGCCTTGGATTTGTTCCTCCTTTCCTGCTTTCTCTATTACTGACTGCTTTGGATGAAGCACTGTCCTTATTAGGAGTCCCTGTGCATTTACTCTGTATTCTTTTTCTGCTCTCTCTCTGCGTTGCTTCTGGAAGTCCTTTAGTAGTAGTAGTTCCTCTGGAAGCTCCATACATGTGGGCTAAGAAAAGAAAAGGAAAATAAGTTTATGTGAACTACATTTCTGAATAGAGTCCTTACAATTACTTCCATTAGACGTAACAATAAAAAGGCAAGTGTGTTGGTTCAAATGTGTTCACACAGCCCCCTCTAGTGGCAGAAAAGGGGTCCTGAAGACACACCCACAGAGATCCCCTACCTCTGTGCCTACAAGCTGGTCTGCAGACCCTTCCCGATAGGTGTTCAGGTACCTATCCACCAGGGTGGTTAGGTCTGACATCATCTCATCCAGAAGTACCAAGCGGAGGGGGAGAAGGTAGGTCGCTTCCAGGGCCAAAATTTTCAATAAAGCATGTGGAAGAGGTCTTGTGAACCACACTTCCGGATTTTCCTAGAAACAATTTTTTTTTTTAATGAATAGTAAATAAACTTTAGAGAAAGTAACTGTTGAAAGGTTGCTCAATCACATACTGGCCGAACACATGCACTCAAGCGTGCACGTGTGCACACACACACGTACACACACTGGCACAAGGAATATTCTGGCAATGCTTGTGCTGCTTTCATGGTACCCATCCGTCACTCCTCTACAGAACAGGCTACTAGGCCTTCTCAGAAAACACTAGAAAAAAAATTGCCCTCAAACAGGACCCCCTTTAATACTCACCAGGAGCTTGTGTCTTTCTTCGAGAAAAGAGAGGTGTTTAGGGGCAACTTTAAGGTGTCTGACTAAACTCTCCTGCAAAGTGCTGATGCAGTTGGGAAGAAAGCCACCCGTTTCCATGGAAAACTGAAGGACATCTGCTACCTGTGGTATCAGAAAAAGACAGACAAACCAGTCAAATGAACACACACAGAACACTATCTCGTGACCAAAATTATTTTAAGTATTTGTGTGTGTGTGTGTGTGTGTGTGTGTTGGTCCTGGGGCTTAAACTCCGGGCCTGGGTGTCATCCCTAAGCTTTTGTGTTTTAGGCTAGCGCTCTACAACTTGAGTCACAACTCCAATTCTGGCTTTTTTTTGGTCCGGTCATAGGGCCTGAACTCTGGGCCTGGGCACTGTCCCTCAGCTCTTCAGCTCAAGGCTAGCGCTCTACCACTTGAGCCACAGCGCCACTTCCGGCTTTTTTCTTTTTTGCTTATGTGGTGCTGAGGAATCGAACCCAGGGCCTCACCACTGAGCCACCTTCCTAGCCCATAATTCTGGCTTTTTGGTATTTGGGGTCTCACAGACTTTCCTGCCTGGACCAGCCTGGAATCGTGATCTGCAGATCTCAGTCTCCTGAGTAGCTAGGATTGCAGGCTGAACCCTGAGTGCATGGCTCACAGTGTTTGGTTTGAGACAGCGTTTCACTGTGTGGCTGACGCTGGCTTGGAGCCCACTATGCAGCCTAGCTTGAGCCTCTCACTTCAGGCTCCCCAGTACTTGCACTGCAGGGTTGGGCTACCACACTCGTGATGTAAATATTCTTTTAGGGAGGCAGATGCTGGGCGCCAGTGGCTCACGCCTGTAATCCTAGCTACTCAGGAGTTGAGATCAGAGGATCTGAATTTGAAGCTAGCCTTCGCAAGGAAGTCCAGACTGGGCTGGGTATGCAGCTCAATGGTAGAACACTTCTCTAGTATGCACCAAGGCTCAAGAAAAGGAGCCCTGGGGCTGGGAAGGTGGCTCAGTGGTAGAGCACTTGCCTTGCGTGCCTGAGGCCCTGGGTTACATTCCTCAGCACCACATAAGCAAAAAGAAAAAAGCCGGAAGTGGCGCTGTGGCTCAAGTGGTAGAGCGCTAGCCTTGAGTTGAAGAGCTGAGGGACAGGGCCCAGGCCCAGAGTTCAGGCCCCACGACTGGACCCAAAAAAAGAAAAAAAAAGGAGCCCTAAGGCACTATTGAACTATTTCTTTACATTTTTGGGTAAGCAAAGCATAGAAGTAGTTTATCCAGTGGCAAAGCATGAGCTTAGCACTTAGCCAACTTAGCAAGTGAAGGTCCTAGGTTAGTGCCTAGAAGAGAAAGAAACAAAGAAAGAAAGAAAGAGGAAAAGAGAGAGGGAGGAAGAAAGAGAGGGTGGGAGGAAGGAAGGAAGCAAGCAAGCCAGCAAGCCAGGAAGCAAGGAAGGAAGGAATCCAGAACAACCTACATGCCTTGAGCAGCATATGTGGAAAGGCAGGGATGTGATTTTTAGTCTGTCCCCAACCTGCTTAAGTTCCTAAATGCTATAACGTACAGGTCTTGTTTCCTTTTCTCTTATTTGACAAACTCTAGAGCTAATAAGAAAACATATTCCAAAGTAAGTTTTGTTGTTATTGTTTATTTCCCTTTTTTGCCCATCCTGAGCTTGAACTCAGGGCTTGGGTGCTGTCCCTAAGCCTCTTTTGGTTTGCTCTCTACCATTTGAGCCACAGTGCAACTTCTGGCTTTTGCTGAGTAGTTTATTGGAGATAAGAGTATCATGGACTTTTCTGCCCAGTCTGGTTTCGAACTGTGATCCTCAGAGGTCAGCCTCCTGAGTAGGTAGGATTACAGATATGAACCACCCATGCCTGGCTTATTCCAAAACAATAGGGGCTTTTTGTCAGTGTTTTTACATAATATACAAACATGTTATATCAGAATGTGATACCAACACCAACAAACAAACTATTCATCAGACCAGGATTATTTTCAACCAGGACTTATACACACTGGTTCAGATCCAGGCCCCTTCACATACCTGTGTATCGAAGACATTATTCAGCATGATTCCATACTGATGAGAGAGGCAATCAGAAAGCCAACGACAGTCATGGATTACCTAAGGAGCCAGAAGACGGAGACAGGGCAATTAGAACCTGGCCGGTCACCTTATTACTTATTGGGGAATGGCTTCTACACTCACCTTTAAAATTCTTTTGTCTTCTAGTATCATCTGAAGTCCATTGTTGAAAGCACGACTTCCCAAAAGGAAAATGTCAAATAAGTATACTCGGCTATTTGTGGCTACCTATGATAGACAATATCATAGGCTAAATAACTGGAGAAGGAGATCTGAGGATCAAGGGTACAAGACGTGGGACAAAAAATATTTAACATCTTCACAGTTGATCAAACAAGAGACATCAATGATTCCTAGGGAAACACAGGTTTAAATCGATCTTAAGTTAAAAAAAAAAAAAAGACACAATGAGCTTGGTTATGGTACAGTGGTCCAGACCATGTGTGAGCAGAGGCCATGTGTGAGCAAGGGTTTAACACCCAGCACTCCCACACACAAGACAAAGCCACTGAGATTTTCAGGGAGAGAAAAGGATAAGTAGGTGAATTAAGACTTTTATTGCCAATAGTCACAACTTAAACCACTTTCACCCCTGCATTCTAATTGCAGTATTGTGAAATACAAATGTGGTCTTCCTGCCAGGCGCTGGTGGCTCACGCCTGTCATCCTAGCTACTCAGGAGGCTGAGATCTGAGGATCATTGTTCAAAGCCAGCCCGGGCAAGAAAGACCGTGAGACTCTTATCTCCAATAAATCACCAGAAAACCGGAAGTGGCGCTGTAGCTCAAGTGGTAGAGCGCTTCCCTTAAGCTGAAGAGCTGAGGGACAGCGCCCAGGCCCAGAGTTCAAGCCCCATGACTGACCAAAAAAAAAAAAAAATTGGTCTTCCTCCTGTATAGTTTCTAAGCTTGAGTCTCCAAGGTGATGAGCATCCTTTGTATACGCTGCTAATGAGATACTTGGTGGTGCTACAGAACTTTGGAAGGGAGGAGGTGGGGGCTGGCCACAGAAAAGACCAAGGTATGATTAGAACAGTGGAACTTTTTTTTTTTTTTTGGCCAGTCCTGGGGCTTGAATTCAGGACCTGGGCATTGTCCCTGAGCTCTTCAGCTCAAGGCTAGCACTCTACCACTTGAGCCACAGTGCCACTTCTGGCTTCTTCTGTGTATGTGGTACTGCTAGGCAAGCATTCTACCACTAAGCCACATTCCCAGGCCCATGAGACTCTTATCTCCAATTAACCACCAGAAAACTGGAGTGGTAGAATGCTAGCCTTGAGTGAAAAAGCTCGGGGACAGTGCCTACACCATGAGTTCAAGCCTGACAACTGACAACAACAACAAAAAAAATCAGGAGGCTGAGATTTGAGGATTGGGGTTCAAAGCCAGCTTGGGCAGGAAAGTCTTATCTTGAATTAAGTATCACAAAGTCGGAAGTGGAGTTGTGTCTCAAGTGGTAGGGAGTTAGCCTTAAGTAAAAAACTCAGTGACAGTGCCTAGGCCCTGAGTTCAAGCCTCAGGGCAGGCACAAGAGAAAGAGAGAGAGAGAGAGGGAACTAGTAAATCTACAGTTATTTCAGAATCACAAGTTTTGAAAAAACCCACTTACCTGAAGCCAGCACAGCTTCCCATGGCGACACACATTGGCTCCCTCTGCAGCCACGCTCAGGACACTCTGCTTCTTGATGTGAAGCATCTGGAAAGAGAAGAAGCTCCAGGGATCAAACAATGGCCCAGTGACATCGCCAATGGCAACTACAATCAAAAGACTATGTCCTTCAATGTACTAATCTGATGAGTACAAAACAGTGCTATTGGAAATACTGAAACTTCCTACAAGGTGAATGAACTTTGAGACTATTATGCCAAGTAAACAAAGCTGGTCAAAGAAGATCACCAGGATCCATGCGTGTGCAACATCCTGAATAGGCAAATCTATACAGAAAGAAATTAGTAGTTGCCAGCTGCTGGGGAGGGGTTGAGTGAGATGGCTAAAAGGTTTCTTTTTAGCTGGGCACCGGTGGCTCAAGCCTATAATCCTAGCTACTCAGGAGGCTGAGATCCTGGGGATCTGAGTTCAAAGCCAGATCAGGCAGGAAAGTCCATGAGATTCATATCACCACCAGAAAACTAGAAGTGGCACTGTGGCTCCAAGTGGTAGTGTGCTCGCCTTGAGCAGAGAAGCTCAGGGACAGTGCCCAGGCCCTGAGTTCAGGCCCCATACAGCATAAACAAACAAGTAAATGAGTAAGTCTAAGTCAGATAATTTCAGACTTTTTTCTGAAACTGGCTTTTCAGCTCAAATAGGACTGGAAATGCTTATAGTAATTGCTAAGCATGTAGAAGGGAGTTGGGGAAGGAGACTTGCAGGCCCAAGGGACAGCAGTGGCTGCCGAGTAGCACAATGGCCACTGCCCATCAGTACAGGACAGTAACACTGTGACAGAAAAAAGATGATTCACCCAACTGCTGAACATACCTGGTGTGCCTCCCACCCCTTCCTTTCCACCTCCCTGTTCTTCCACTATCAGGAATGCTTTAGCCTCAGGCCCTTTGCACTGCCTAATTCTACTTTTTTTTTGGTTGGTTGTGGGGCTTGAACTCTGGGCCTGGGCACTTTCCCTGCACTCTTCAGCTCAAGACTAGCGCTCTACCACCTGAGCCACAACGCCACTTCTGGTTTTCTAGTGGTTTATTGGAGATAAGAGACTCACAAACTTTCCTGCCTGGGCTGGCTCTGAACTGTGATCCTCAGATCTCAGCCTCCTGAGTAGCTAGGATGACAAGCGTTGAGCCACCAGCGCCCAGCTCTAATTCTACATTTTGAAAATTCTTCACCAAGCAATAGAGTCACATAGCTCACTCCCTTACTTCCTCCAAATCCCTGTTCCAAAGTCATCTCTCCAGAGAAGTTGTCTCGATCTGTCCGACATAAAATAGCACCTCCCTGCACTATGCATTCCTAACTGTGCTCAGTTTTTCTTCATAGCAATTATTTCCCACTTTTGCTAGGCACTGATGGCTCATGTCTATAATCTTAGCTACAGGGGAGACTGAGATGTGAGTACCAAGGTTTGATGCCAGCCCAGGCAGGGAAGACTGTGAAACTCTAACTCCAATTAGCCACCCAGAACAAAGTAGGAAGTGGAGAGTGACTCAAGTAATAGAATGTTAGCCTTGAGCGAAAAAGCTGAGGGATTGTACTCAGGCCCTGAGTCCAAGCCTCAGTACCAGCAGACAAATACACGCATGTGCACACACGTCCGCACGCACACACAGAATGTAAGCTCTTCTAAGGGCCAGAATTTTGTCTCAATTATTGTTTTACTCCACATCTTAGAATAGATTGACATATATTAATTCCATCAAGTTAGTAAGAACAACACCACAGAACTTTTGTTTTTTTGGTCATGGGTCTTGAACTCTGGGCCTGGGCGCTGTCCCTGAGCTCTTCATCTCAAGGCAAGCGCTCTACCACTTGAGCCACAGAGTCACTTCCAGTTTTCTGGTGGTTCACTCGAGATGAGAGCCTGGCTCAACACCACGGAACTTACAGTGAAAGAAATGAAGGAGACACAGACAGGATACCTATGTGGAATCAGGCCTGGGAAGGACAGAGAGCAATACTTACCGCAGCACCAAACTTCTGTTGGAACTGATCAATGACTGTGTATGTCACTTCCTCTTCCTCTATGAGAGAAGGAAGCCATAAATTCACTCCCATCCTTGAGAAGACAATGTTCCTCCCTCTAATCTTGGTCAAACTCATTATCATCTGTGTCAGTCTCTCATGCAGTGCATACTAATAACTGCCAGCGTTTGTCAATTAATGCCAAACAAGAGCCTCATCAATTTTATTCCTGTGCCTGTCTTGGCGCTTGAACTCAGGGCCTGAGCACTCTCTCTGAGCCTTTTTCACTCAAGGCTAGTGGCTCTACCACATAAGCTACAGCCCCACTTTCAGTGTTTTGTAAGTAGCTTATTGGAATCTCGTGGACTTTCTTGCTTAGGCTGGCTTTGAACTGTGGTCCTCAGAGCTCAGCACCCCCAGTAGCTAGGATTACAACGTGAATCACTGGTGTCTGGCCCTACCAAATTTTTTAAACTGGATTTTTTTCTGGTCTTGTCTTTTTTGGTACTGGGGATGGAACCCAGGATGTTGCTCTTGCTAGGCAAGCGCATTGCCACTGAGCTATATCCCAGCCCTCTACCATTTTTTTGTGTGTGCCAGTACTAAGGCTTGCACTCAGGGTTTCACATTCTCACTCAGCTTGCTTGCGCAGCCATGCCACAGACCACAGACCAACATTTGGGGAGTTAGCTAGCGATGGAGTCTTGCAGACTTTTCTGCCTGGACTGGCTTCAAATCTTGATCCTCAGATCTCAGCCTCTTGAGTAGTTATGATTATAGCCATAAGCCAGCTACCAGACTAATAATTCATTTCTCAATGTTTAGTGTGTTCATCAAAGAAATACAAAGAAATAAAAACATTACTAGAAGCACATGGGAATGAAAGCACATCTTACCAAAACTTTTGGGTCACAGAAAAGGCAGTACTAAGAGGAAAGTTTATACCTGACTGCCTACGTTGAAAAAAAAACAAATCAGAGAAACCTGTACAGTGTCTTATACCTAAATCCCAGCTACTCCAGAGGTGAAGATACGAGTATCATAGTTTCTGGCTAGCTCAGGCAAAACGGTACTGGGATCCCATCTCAAAGGACAAGCCAGTCATGTTGGAGCATGTGGGGTGCGACTCAGAGGTAGGTTAGCCCCAGGCAAAAGCAAGATTCTATCTGAAAAATAGCTAAAGCAAAAGATGGGGACATGGTTCAAGTGGTAGAGTACTTGCCTAACAAGCAGGAATCCTTGAGTTCAAACCTAATACCACTGGGCTGGGAAGGTGGCTCAGCGGTAGAGTGCCTGCCTGCCTAACGTGCATGAAGCCCTGGGTTTGATTCCTTGGTACCATCTAAACAGAAAAAGCCAGAAGTGGTGCTGTGGCTCAAGTGGTAGAACACTAGCCTTGAGCACAAAGAGGCTCAGGGACAGAGCCAGGCCCAGAGCTCAAGCCCCAGGACTGGCAAAAAAAAAGAAAGAAAGAAAGAAAAAAATACTACTTAGCCATTGGTACAGACAAAATTCCATGAACTTTTTTTTTTTTTTTTTTTGTCGGTCATGGGGCTTGAACTCTGCGCCTGGGCGCTGTCCCTCAGCTCTTCAGCTCAAGGCTAATGCTCTACCACTTGAGCCACAGTGCCACTTAATGGTTTTTCTGAGTAGTTTATTGGAGATACAGGTCTCATGGTCTTTCTTGCCTGGGCTGGCTTCAAACTGCCATGCTCAGATCTCAGCCTCCTGAGTAGCTAGGATTACAGGCCTGAGCCACCAGTGCCGGGTTCATGAACTTTTTCTTTTTTTTTTTTAACCTGGGCTAGCCTTAAACTTCAATCTCTCCCCCCCGCCTCCCATCTCTGCCCCTCAAATAGGATCATAGGCTTGAGTCCTCAGACTCAACTAGGTATTGCCTTTTTTTTTTTTTTTTTTGGTCAGTCCTGTGGCTTGAACTATGGGCCTGGGTGCTGTCCCTCATCTCTTCAGCTCAAGGCTAGTGCTCTACCACTTGAGCTACAGCGCCACTTCTGGTTTTCTGGTGGTTTATTGGAGAATTTTGTGCCCAGGCTGGCTTTGAACCACAATCCTCAGATCTTAGCCTCCTTAATAGGTAGCTAGGATGACAGGTGTGGGCCACTGGCACCCAGTGGTTTTGCCTTTCTGAATAGGAACTCAACTGTTGAGAAAAGGAAGGCAAGCGATCATCAATGGGGGGCTGGGAAGGTGGCTCAGTGGTAGAGCGCTTGCCTTGCATGCATGATGCCCTGGGTTCGATTCTTCAGTACCACATAAGCAGAAAAAGCCAGAAGTGGCTCTGTGGCTCAAGTGGTAGAGCGCTAGCCTGGAGCTGAAGAGCTCAGGGACAGCGCCCAGGCCCAGAGTTCTGGCCCCATGACTGGCAAAAAAAAAAAGAAAATCACAAATGAGATTGGATCCAATTTTAAAAAGTATCTACAAAGCAAAGCAGACAATGACCATTTGGTAAATATTTGTTGTGCAAAACTGGCAAACCTCATACTGCTAAAATGTCCACTTCCAAAAATTACATACCAAAAGAACAAATAATCCAAATAATAAATGGAAAATGAATCAAATAGCTCTAGAAAGAGTACAAGTGGCCAATAAATACAAAATGTTCAGTATCATTAGTCATAAAGGAAACAAAAATCAAACAGAGATTCTGTCAGATGGCCATCATTAGAACAAACAATAACGGCTGGGCGCTGGTGGCTCACACCTATAATCCTAGCTTCTCCAGAGGCTGTGATATCAGGATCATGGTTTGGGTACTAAAGTCCATGACACTCTAATCTCAAATTAACCACCAAAAAGCTGGAAGTGGTGCTGTGGCAAAAGTGGTAGGGTACTAACCTTGAGCAAAAAAGCTCAGGGACAGTGCTCAGACCCTGAGTCCAGGCCCCAGGATCAGCACACACACAAAAAGACAATGTTACACTGGGTGCTGGTGATATATGCCTGTAATCCTAACTACTCAGGAAGCTGAGATCTGAGGATCCCTGTTGAAAACCAGCCTGGGCAAGAAAGTCTGTGAGGCTCTTATCTCCAATAAACCATCAGAAAACCGCAAATAGTGCTGTAGCTCAAGTAGAAGAGCCCTCGCCTTGAGCTGAAGAGCTGAGGGACAGCGCCCAGGCCCAGAGTTCAAGCCCCACGACCAACACACACACAAAGTAATAGAGAGTGAATTTGATCAAGTACACTATATGCATGCATGGATGGCACTGTCACAAGGAAACTCCTTTGTACAATTACTATATACCAATTAAAAAAATACAACTCTGAAAAGAAAGAGCCTCAGTGAGGAGGTGTCCTAGATACCGTAGAGTTGCAAAACTACCTTATCCACATACTTACCTTCTTGCTCAGCATCTGGCAGCAGCATACTGAATGTAGTTACTCATTTATCTTATGTATCATCTGTCTCTTGTACAGAGCCCAATGCCTGGCACAAAGTATCCTTTACATAGCAAATAAGCAACTGAATCAAGATGCTTATCTTAACTGAGGGCTGAGGAGCAATGGCTCTACTGAGCCTCTCTTTTGCCAACTGCAAAGAGTTCTGAGCCCCAATGAAGAGCCTAGAATTGTTCACGCCTATAATCCTAGTGACTCAGGAGGCTGAGATCTGAGGATCGAGGTTTAAAGCCAGCCCAGGCAGGAAAGATCATGAGAACTCCTATTAATTACCAGAAAGCCAGAAGTGGTGCTGTGGCCCAAAGTGGTAGAGCAGGGGCTGGGAAGGTGGCTCAGTGGTAGAGTGCTTGCTTTGCATGCATGAGGCACTGGGTTAGAGTCCTTCATACCACAGAAGCAGAAAAAGCCAGAAGTGTTGCTGTGGCTCAAGTGGTAGAGCACTAGCCTTGAGCTGAAGAGCTGAGGGACAGCGCCCAGGCCCAGAGTTCAGGCCGA